CCAGAGGAGCAGGCCCTGTAGCATCCCTGCTGTGCCAATACAATGTCCCTTTTTCCCATCCCCAGCCACACTTTGGGCTGGCAGAGGCTTTAAAGAGAAGAATTTAGTGTTTTGCTGTGATGTCTCAGAGCTGAGGACTAAAAGCATCATCACTGCTCCATTATGTAATTCAGGGCATGTTTCATCCTTTGGGAGATGGAGCTTTTGGCTTTCAACTGCTGGAAGAGGTCTAAACCCACACAGAGGGCCCACCTCCAGCTCTGTCATTCCCTCTCACTTTCTCTGTGTAAAATACCCCTGGACTCAGAAAAAACACTCATCAGGGTGGAGGTTGCACTAGGTCAGTGTATTCCTCTAAAGGTCAGGCCTAAAGGTCACTCTGAACTTTTGTTTCAGATCCTTCTGTCACCTCTTGAACTCCCAAGCTCTCTGGCTTAAATGAGGAGTAGGAATTTTGAGCAGTGGAGTTAGTGGAGGTGATTCAGTGTAACCTTGATAGAGGAGATATGCCTGGAGCATCCTCCCCTCCTGCCCAGGGTCCTTCTCCCCTCTTGGCAGAGGAGTTGAGGGAAGTGCAGGGCAGCTCTGAAGGACACAGGCCAGGCACTTTTCCCAGCCCTTCCTGGTACAAGACATCCCAAAGCTGAGCATCCCTGTTCCACAGTGAGGCACTGGGCACGGGGTTCTATTTCCTCGTGAGGAAAGAAGTTGCCCTAAGCATGGCCCTAAACCCTGGGTAAAACAGAGCTGAAAGCTGCTCTTCATCCTTGCTTTAAGATGAAATGCACCAGTGGGCTCTGGAGGAAACAATGTGCTGAAAATACCCCCAGGCTGTGACAGCTTTGCTCACGGCTGCCCAGACTCTGCCTGGGACAGACTCAGTGGTCACTCTTGTCCTTGGAGGGTCTGGGGCCTCATTCTCTCTGTCAGTGCCTCTTTGTGCACCAGGCACTCACATCTCCTTACCCCTCTGTCTCTCTCCAAATGCTGGCACCTGCCACTGCCGTGAGTGTTCCCTCTGTCCCCTCCTCACTGACAGTGTCACTGCCCTGCTGCAGGAGGCACCAGTGCTGTTTCCCACAGGTATCTGGACACACTGGAACAAGCCCTGGCTGCTGGAGACGTGGTTTTGATTGAGAACCTGGAGGAATCGGTGGATCCAGTGCTGGGGCCGTTACTGGGCCGAGAAACAATCAAGAAAGGCAGGTGAGCCTGAGGGATTTGGGGACACGTGTGGATGGGGGCTGGAGGCTTTGTGCTCTCTGTTCCTGCCCTCAGATCCTGGGTGTTCACATCCAGCAGCATTAACATCCTGCCTTCAGCAGTGAGGGCGTTTTAAATCAGGCAATCACAGGTAATTCAGCCATAGGATGGCTTGGAAATCAACTTAGATTTCTCATTTCATTTCACAGCATCATTCAAACCTCGTGTAAAAGAGAGAACTGTAATTCTCCCATTGTACACTGACCTTGGGGTCTGTAATTAGCTGTTCTGACACCGAATTATTACCAAAATAGCTGCTGCTGTTGTGAAGTAAAAGTAACCTTGAATTTTAGCAAACACTACACAGTGTTCAGAAATGCAGCTACAGGTTTCAGCATCAAGGATATCAAGTGTTTCTTAATGAGGTCAAGTTCTCATGGCAGCTGCTGGCCACCTCCAGCCAAGAGGAGGTCAGCGAGAGAGGCAGCCAGGGAGCTCTTTTCACTTCAGTTCTTTGAGGATTATTTCCCTGCTTGCCTGAAACATCCCAGGGTGTCATAAACTGGTGGGCAAGGCAAGCAGTCTGCAAAGCTTGCTGGGGAAAACATCCTGGGAAGGATGGCTGAGCGTGGGTTTGGCTCCAGGATAGAGGGGCAGGGTTGGTCCCAGTGCAGGATTGAAATATTTGGAGGATGTTGAGAGAGGGATGCAGCAGGGAGGGTGGCAAATCCCCTCCAGTGGAACACTCAGGCATCCCATTTTGTGCATCTCTGCTGTCAAAACTCCCTGTTTTGAGTCATATAGAAGTCATATAGAAAGGGAAAATAAGTTATAAATCACAGAGAAAGTCCCTGGGTTTTGTGTTTCCATGCCCTAAGCTCATCCTCCAGGCAGATGCTGCCAGTCCCAGAGCAGGAATGGTTTCGCTGTGGGGTCTGGCAGGATCTCTGCTGTGAGCTGCCTGTACTGGGGGATTTGCAGCTCCAAAATCAGTTGAGAGGGCCAGGAGGGCACCCAGTGAGTGGTGTTGGACTGGGAAGTGAATTCAAACTCCCTTGAGAACATCAACATTCCCACAGTGCATCCCCAAAAACATTCCTAGTTTGTCTTTGACTCTGGTTCCCATGGCCTTTGTTAATATAGAATTATAAAATGATTTGGGTTGGGAGGGACTTTAAAAATCATCCAGTGCCATCCCTGCCATGGCAGGGACACCTCCCACTGTCCCAGGCTGCTCCAAGCCCCAGTGTCCAACCTGGCCTTGGGCACTGCCAGGGATCCAGGGGCAGCCACAGCTGCTCTGGGCACCCTGTGCCAGCCCTGCCCACCCTCACAGGGAAGGATTCCTTCCTAACATCTCATCTAAACCCACTCTCTGTCAGTCTGAACCCATTGCCCCTTGTCCTGTCACTGCAGTTCCTGATCAGGTCCCTGCAGCCCCTGCAGACCCTGGAAGGGGCTCTGGGGTCTCCACACAACCTTCTCCTCTCCAGGCTGGACAATCCCAGCTCTCCCAGCCTGGCTCCATGGGGGAGCTGCTCCAGTCCCTTTATCAACTTCCAGCTCTCCTCTGCAATTGTTCCAACAGTTCCTTGTCCCTTTTATGTTGGGGACACCAGAACTGGGCCCTGTTCCAGGTGGGGTCTCCCCAGAGACAGAATCCCCTCCTGGCCCTGCTGCCCACAGCTTTGGACACAACCCAGGGCATGGCTGGATTTCTGGGCTGGGCTAATCTTGGGTTCAGAGGATGTTGTCATTTCCTGGGGTCTCTGTGAGCTTTAGACTGTGTGCAGTGCAGAGCAGGAGGATGCTGGGTTTTCCTGGCTGATGTCACCTCCTGGGAATGGCAGCCACCACTCTCCACATGTGGCTTCACTTGTCAAGCCAGAGCTGGCCTGGTCAGAGCCAGCACTCTGGGTAATTTTAGCTCTGACCAGTGAAAGAAGCTCGAGCTTGAGAGGCTTTTCCTCCCTGCTACTCCAGTTTTAGGCCGAATTCAGCCTCTGCCCAAAGCCAGGAGTGTTCATGGTAGGTCTGGTTGTGTCACTGTGGAAAATTTTAGCCTCCTTAAACAGGATCCAAAATTCAGGAGAGACTCTTTGGGGTTTTTCCCTTAAATGAGAAGTGATTTTAGTGTGTCCAGTATGAAACGCTTTGCTTCAATAATGATTTCTGTGAGGAGTGCCAAGTCGCTGGAGCTGCCACTGTCCTGTGGTGTCAGCTCCTGCCTGAGGCTCCTTTTGCCAAAATCCCAGGTACATCAAGATTGGGGACAAGGAGTGTGCCTTGCACCCTGCCTTCCGTCTGATCCTGCACACCAAGCTGGCAAACCCTCACTTCCAGCCCGAGCTGCAGGCACAGTGCACCCTCATCGACTTCTCTGTCACCCGCCACGGCCTCGAGGAGCAGCTGCTGGGGGCTGTGGTGAGCCTGGAGAGGCCAGACCTGGAGGAGCTGAAGGTCAGAGAAACACTGAGAGCAGGAGAAATCATCAGTGGCATCCTTATTACACTTATCATTCTATTATTATAATTAATATTTATTTTATTATTTAATTATATAATTATAATTATTAATATTATTAATAATGTTGTTGTTGGTCTACACTGAGAGGCCAGACCTGGAGGAGCTGAAGATCAGACCTGGGGGTTTACACTGGGGTCAAGGAGAAATCATCAGTAGCATTATTATTAAATTTATAATTTAATTATAATTATTATAATTATAATTATGAATATTATTAATAATATTGTTGTTCGTCTACACTGAGAGGCCAGACTTGGAGGAGCTGAAGGTCAGCACCTGAAATTGTCACTGGGAACAAGGAGAAATTATCAGTAGCATCGTTATTACACTTACGATTTAATTATAATGATTATAATTATTATTTTTTTTAATTAATATTGTTATTATTATTGTTGCTGGTCTACACTGAGAGGCCTGACCTGGAGGAGCTGAAGGTCAACACCTAGGAGTTTACACTGAGAACAAGTGCTACAATCATCATTATCATATTTCGTTTTTATTTTTATTATTTTTATTTCTAGTTTTGCTATTTTTAATTTTTATTTCATTTTTAACAAACAGCATTTTACATGCCAGCTTGCAGACGTTGCTGAGCTCTTCACAAAATCAGATTTCCCTTGTATGACAAACATTGAGGGTTATTTTTCCTTCAGCCTTCCCTTTTCTTGGCATTTTAAGAACCCTTGTACTTAATTTTCAACGTTTTTCTCCCAAAAATTCTCTTTATTTTCCTCCTCCTCCTCTGACTGAAAGCTGAGTTTCTCATTACCTCAGTTTTTTTCCGGACTTCACCAATCTAATTTTTGAAGCAGCATTAATCTCACTTAATTTTCAGCATTTATGGTAAAGGAATCTCTCTGTAAATATTGTGAGGCTGGCAATGATATTTTTCTCTTCTGGTTCTTCCTCCCACTTTGTAACAGCCCAAAATATTTTCTCTCTCTCTTAATAAGTATGGCTTTAATTTCAAGGTAATTTTAGAAAGAAAATCCTCCCTTCTGATGACAACTTTAACAGTGGAACAAATATGAATAATCCTAAATATTTTCTGAGAGTGGAAATAAATTTACTGCATGTGTTCAGTCAGGCCAGGCCTGTTCTGAAAGAATCTTTCCATTTAATGAGGTTCTGAAGGTCCTTAGCTGGGCAGCCTTAATGAAGCATCGAGGCTCATGTGCTAATGAGCCAAAAGATGGCATCAAAAATACAAAATGAGCTGATTAATATGTGAGCCAGGGGTGCTGTGCTGCTGCCACGAGGGACACAAAGCCTTGCTCAGTGTCCCCAGCACAATTCCTGTGGGATGTGAAAATGGGATGTCCCATTTTCCTTACCTTGAAGAATACTGAATTATTTCTCTCCAGCACCACAGCAAGAGAACACCAGAGCCTCTCCTCACCCAGTTCCATCCTACTGCATCCCTGCTGCCTCAGGGAGGAGAAAAGCAGCCTGGAACTCCAGATGTTCTGCTAGAAGGGGAACATAAACCCTGTTTCTTGCTGGATTTAAAGCAGAGCTGTGTCTCCTTGGGCAGTGAAGGGGTGGCAGTGCCACCTGTGACCAGGGGCTCTGCATCTTCTGCCCCCATGTCTTGGTTTGAAAGACAGGTGTCTGCTAATAAAGGCAGGAGCCTTTCTTGAAATGGAAAATATAAACCCCCTCCCTCCAAATTATTATGATTTTGAAATTAAGGGTCTCTCAGGCAAAAATATGGGAATAGCAATAACAGTTCTTTACTAGGAAAATTACAATAGAAATACAGTATTACAGCGAATAAACCCAAAAACACTGACAGTCAGAATCCAAGCTCACCCCATCAGTCAGTCAGGGTTGTTGCAGTCCCATTCCATGGTGGCTGCATCCTCCTGCAGTGACAGATGTGGTTCTGCTGGAGCAGGGCTCCTGCACAAGGTGCAGTTTTCCTCCAAAGCTGCAGGGATGATGTGCAAGGCTCTGGTTTTCCTCTGGGATCCAGTGGGAAAAGGCTGCTCTGCTGTTCCAAATCTCACCTTTGATCTGGGTAGGAAATGCTCGGCTCCTGCCCTGGGTGGAGCATCTCCCAATGGGATGATGGAATTTGATCAGCCCTGCCCTGGGACTGCATGGCCATGAACAGGAGAGATCTCCTGGAAGGAGGATGGGCTGTGGGAAAGATAAAGAACACTGCAACAGCTGGGTGAACAGCTGGGATAGAACACACACTGCTGGGCACAGCCTGCATTGAAACCCAAGATACCCCAGGGCTGGGTCTGGAGCTCGTGTGAGGCCCAGAGTGGAATTTGGGATTCCCCAGAGGACAGGTCACCTCTGCAGGTGTGTGTTTGTCTTTCCACCCTGGGACTGAAGGGACAGGTATTTGGTGTGCAGGGAAGGTTTAGAGCTCTGGTTTGAGGGCAAGGGAGATGATTCTTAAAGCACTGTACAAAGGTTACTGAGCTCAAAGCACACCTTGTATATGGAGCCCAGAATTTATTGCTGATAACCTAATCCAATTCAGCAAGCACCTGTGATTAATCCAGTTCTGGTAGCATCTTTTAAAAATGTTTTCTCAACACAGTCTGCTTTCAAAATCCTTTTCTTCCTTGATTCCCAGTTCAATCTTTCTGTCCCTCCTTACAAACCACATTAGGGCAAGGCAAGCAGGACCTTCTCTCCCAGCTCACTGCAAACCCTTTCACTGGTTTTCCCTGCAATTCCCTGTGCTGAGGATGACTGTGGTCCCTGTGCTGGTGGCACTGCCATGGTCCAGTTGTGTCCTCAGGGCTGGTTTCAGGTACCCCCCACCTTCTCCAAACTTCACTGTTTGGCTGAAATGTCTCAATTGCTATTTGCCTCTAATTCCTTGTGTGTTTAGTGTTGGGAGCAGCCTTAGGAGGGATGTTTTGTCCCAAGCTGTGGGTGGATAAGCCACGAGCTGGGGCCTGCTGTGCTGATTTAGAGATGAAGTGTGAGATCCCTGTGCTGTCATGGACAGTTGAGGTTTTTCCTCAGGTGCTCTGCAGAGTCAGATACTGAGATGAAATTCCTCCCAGTGAGGGTGGGCAGGCCCTGGCACAGGGTGCCCAGAGCAGCTGTGGCTGCCCCTGGATCCCTGGCAGTGCCCAAGGCCAGGTTGGACACTGGGGCTGGGAGCAGCCTGGGACAGTGGGAGGTGTCCCTGCCCATGGCAGGGGTGGAACACAATGGTAATAAAGTCCCTTCCAACCCAAATCATTTTTGGATTCTGTGAAAACACAGAGAATTTCCCCCCTCTGGATTGTGAGGTTAAAATAACAACAAAACCAGCAAAAGGGAAAAGGAAAAGTGGCTGCTGTGGCTGAGTTTGGAAGGCTCTGGCAGTGAATCCTGCAGAGCTGGCCTGGAGCTCTGGTGAACTTTTTTTGCATGGAATGAGGTTTGGAAGTTACCCTGGGAGTAACTTATTTCCCAGAAGCAGCACTTTTCTGTATGAGCTAATGAGCTGCAGTGCAGACATAAGGAATGATGACCTTGCTGTGCTGCAAACCACAGCAGGATGAGGCTGCAGCACCCACAGGTGCTGGGGACATCCAGTCTGGGCATCTGAGGGTGCTCCAGAACCTGTGTGGGGATCACAGGCAATTGGAACAAAAATCCACCCCCTCCTCATTAATAACTCCAGGGCTCATAGTCCGTGGTCTGCAAGAAGAGCTTGCAAAATGTCCTTTTTCAAGTCATGCTATGCTTGAATGACAGGAATGCACACAATTAGCCACATTAGTTTTCTGGTTCAAGGCTTGTGAAATATTCGCCACCACCAGGAGCAAGTTCCTGTGTGTAAAGTTTAGAGAAAAGGCCTTTAAAGCAGCCCTTTCCTGCTGAAATACCAGACACACTTCAGTGCCTGCTCAGCAGAGCTGCTGTTAACATGGAATGAGGGTGTGCATGGAATTTCAGCCCATATATTGAAAGATGAGTTATTAATGAGAGAGTCTCTCAATCTGGTGGAAAACCTGGCAACAGAGCAAATCCTACAGGCTCACTTCTGCATGGTGGGATTGGGAAAGCCATAGGGTTTCACATTTCTTCTTCCTGGGCTCCTCCAGACCCTACAGGGGGAGATATTTTCCCAAAAACTCTCTTTGGAGCATTAGATCCTTGGCTTGTGGCACTGAGTCTGTCACATGCCAGTGGCCCAGGACTTGTCTCAGCTCCACATGCCCCACTCCTGCTGTTCTAGAGCTGTTGGGTTTTGCAGGGCTGTAAAACACTCTGCAAGTTCCTTGAATTTCTTGTTTTGTGTCACTTAACAGTCTGAGGGTTTGAACTGAGTGTCACTCAGCAGTGTTTTCCATAGCAAGTGTTAGCACTGACTTCACCAGGCTTAGTCCAGCATCCCAATCAGAGCTTTCCCACAGGGTATTTTCTGTGAGAACTCTAAAAATAGGTGCTCACAATAGGCACATATTGTGGAATCCACAATAAACCCAAGAGCCAGGAGTTTTCTCTGAGCAAACACACAGAATAGGACAATCACATCTCAGGGAGAAAGCCTGTCCTGGAGGAGCAGCTCAGAAAGGAGCCAGGTGAGAGCCTTTGTTTCCACCATGAACAGTGCTCATGACTGGTGTTCCTGCAGAGGCCAGGGAGGTGGGACTGTGCCTGCAGAGCATGGAGAGGGCACTTCAGAGACATGGGAAGGGTTTGCTGTCATTCAGAAATCTGCCTCTGCCACAGGAGAGTTGTGCTGGCCTGAATCTTCTTGCCCATCTTTGTCAGGTCCAGCTTTAGCCACTGGTGCCAGTGGGACCTCGAGGCCAGGGTACAAATGGGAGCAGGACAGGAGAGGCTGTGGCTTTGCCCTCAGTTCTGAACCTGGGATCTCCCCATACTCACATTGGTACCCAAGGGACTTCACTGCTGGTTTTGCCATCAGGTTTTAACCCCGTGTTCCCCAGTGCTGGTGTGACTGCTGTGGGCTGGAGTGGTGAGAGCAGATGTTCAGCAGGAGGGGTGAGGAGCAGGGACTCTCCAGGCTGACTTGACCCCAAGAATTGAGGTACAAAGACACCGAATATGTGGATAAAGGGGATAAAGGTCTTTTCTTCCTGATTCATTTCCAGCATTTTCCTGCTTTTCTAGCAAAAGGGCTCAGTTCTCCTGGTGCTTTCTGTGCCGTTCCAGGGTTCTCTGAGCTGCAAGCTTGTTGGATAAGGAGTGATCCCAGATCCCAGAACTCTATCCACTCCCAGGAGTTGCAGAGAGCAGGAATCAGCACTACTGGACTATAGCAATTGTCAATGGGAATCCTGTTCCCATGTGAAGGTGATTAATCCTTACTTTACCACATCCTTTATGGCTAAAACTTCCTGAATTTTTTATTTGCAGTCAGATCTCACAAAGCAACAGAATGGATTCAAGATCACCTTGAAAACATTGGAGGACAATTTGCTCTCTCGGCTGTCGTCAGCATCTGGGAATTTCCTGGGAGACACAGCGTTGGTGGAAAACCTGGAGACCACTAAAAGGACAGCTGCAGAGATTGTGGAGAAGGTACAAAGGCAGTGATAGCCTGGAGAAAGCATGTCTGTGCTCCTTTAAGGATTTCTGGCTGGAATGTAACCTCTGCTCTGCCCATCTCTGCTCCGTCTGCTGAGCAGGGAATAGAAATTGGTATAAATTGTAAATGCTCTCCATTCTGGAGAGCTCCAGGCCATTTAGTTCTTTGGAGCTTTTTTGTGTTAAATGACCTATTTAAGACCAAGAGAAAACATTGATGCCTGATGTAAAGACAATAAAATTTACACACTGTATCAAGGCAGCTTTAAAGTGTTCCAGCATAATCCTGGGTACATCACACTGCCTCAGTGAGGCTGGATTTTAGTACTGACCAGGGACTGGAATCTGGGGAGCTGTGATCTCGAGTAAATGTGAAAGAACTCAGGTATTTCGCACTCTTCCGTTCCTCAGAGTATAAATCAGCATTTGTGTGAGCACTGCCACCTGCCCAGCTGCCCTTGCTGCCTGCATGGGCTCAGGTAAATGCCCAGGGGTTTTTCCTTGCCGCTGAGGGAGCTTGGGAAGTGTGATTCCCATGCCAGGATTGTCCCAGGACTCTGGAGGGGACGTTCAGCTCTTTCCTTCTGCAGTCTCCCCATCTCCAGAGCCTGCACGTGCCCTCCCTCAACCACTGGCCCATGTTCTGCCTGGCACTGCCTCTCTTCCCAGCCAGTGACCAAGAAACTCAGTGATACTCCCTCCATGTTCTAAATCAGAATTGTTTTCTATTTGTGGTGCATCAGGTGCATTCAGCTCCCTGGGGAGGAGTTGGTTGAACCCCCAAAGGGGGTGTTGAAGGGATTTTTTGACATGGAAAGCTTTGACATCTTCCCCTTGAAGCAGGTGCTTTGGAAGTGCTTCACCTTCTAAGCCAGCTGTGCTGTGCAGCTGCTCACTGCCAGCAGTGCCAACAAGGCATGAATTTTAGAGTTTCCACCTGGATTTTCTGAGTTTTTCCCCACCTGGAAAGCTGTGAAAGAGCCCTGATAGAAGTCCAAGTCAAGCCTCACTGTCCTTTTGGTCTGATTACCCAAAGAAAGGTGTTCAGCCAACATTTTCCTTGCTCTGGAAGTCCTCCCTGCTCTACAGATGGAGAGCATCTATCTGCCCCAGCTCTGGCTCTGAGTTTGCCAGAGCTGTTCATGAGTCCAGCACTGCTCATGGGGATGTACAAACATCCCACAGATCCCACAACAGATGAAGGCTCATCCTGTGCTTCCTTGTGGTGCCCCAGCCAGGTGTGCTCACAGCAGCTCAGGTGACAGCCCAGGGCACCCTGTGGTGTTTCAGCAGGGGCTGTGTGATGCTCTGCTGGCTCATTCTGCCATAGGAAGCCTAGGAAGGGCTGGAGAGGGACTTCTTGCAGTGATAGGACAAGGGGAAAGGCTTCAAGATGAAAATGGGAGACTTTGATCAGATATTAGGAAGAAATTCCTGGCTGTAAGGGTGGGGAGGCCCTGGCATAGGTTGCCCAGAGAAGCTGTGGCTTCACCATATTTGGAAGTGTCCAAGGCTAGGCTGGATAGGGCTTGGGGCAGCCTAGGACGGTGGAAAATGTCCTTGAGTGGAATGAGAAGAGCTTTAGGGTCCTTTCAAACCCAAACTGTTCTGGGATTCTATGATCCTATTGCATGATTTGCTGGGCTGACTGGGTCAGCACTGTCCCAGCAGCTCCTGACCATGGTGTTAGACATGTCTGTCCTTAGCCAGGGACTAAAATAAACCCCAGGAGGCTCAGAGATGTCACTTCTTGCTGCTGAGGTGGGGTGAAAGAACAAGCAGGACCGAGGTGATGATGGGTGGTGATTCTGCTGAGATTTTCACATGTCCCTCAGAGCAGCTGCAGAGCGAGGTTTGGTGCTGCTGAGCAAAGGCAGCAAAGAGCTGAGCTGTTATACACGAGCAGCTCTCAGCCCTGGGGAAGCTGCCTGAGAGCAGCACTGGGGCTGCTCAGCCCAGCCTCCTTAATGGCCTGCACAGGAGGGGGGCAATTAGCACTCATTGATTGAGAAACTCATTGATGAGAAAACCAATTCCAGTTAGCAAAGAGCAGGGAGCCTAGGGAGAAGTCTGGAGTGGACACAGGAAAACGGGGGATTGGGCAACTGAGTGCAAAATGCAGTTAAATGGAAGTTCCAGAGGGGGAGGATGCTGGGGAGGGCAGATCCAGCCTGGCAGGGGCACAAGTGACCCATGGTGGTCAC